CAAAAAAAAAAAAAAAAAAAGAGTGTGGATAGAATTGAATCCAGCAAGGAACTAGAGCCTGTGCCCTAAGTGTCCGGCCTGAGTGCAATAGCAGCTTGCCTTCTATTGCTGAGGATCCTTCAGCTCTTCCAACTCCTACCTCCTCACCCTCCTCCAGTCAGTAACTCTTCTTGCCTGTTCACTTGATGCCAGCCCCTGTATGTCAGCTGTTGTATTGTACTGTACTACTGAAAGGTACTATACTAAAGATTAACAATTTTTAAATTTTTTGTATTTTTTTTAATGTATTGTGTGAAAGGTATTATAAACCTGTTACAGTATGGTACTATATAGCCCATTGTGTTAGTTGGGTACCTAGGCTAACTGTGTTGGACTTATGAACAGATTGGATTTAATGAATGTACTCTCGCAACAGAACCAATTTGTATGTAGGGGACTTACTGTACAGAAAAATAAAAGATACTTCTGACAAAGACAATCTAGGTAGAAAGATCAGAAAGTTAAATAGTTCAAGAAAAGACATTATAAATAAGTATATGATTAACATAATGCTATAGAGTTCAAGGACGGAGAGGTCTCTTCTTTCACAGAAGAAATAGAATTTTAATAGGCTTTTTTTAAAGTTTGAGTATTTTAGGGAGGAAAGTATAGCGTATGCCAAATTAATACTAAGAAGTAGCAGGAAGGTCCGTTACCTTCAAACATCAATACTTGATTACAAATTCCATGGGTGGAGACTTCTCTTCACTTGCCTTTAAAAGTAGTCCATAAATGTCAGCTGAGTCAAGTTGATTTGGTGCTAAATAAAGCTAATGTTTATTTGAAATGTCATGAATATAAAGGAATTGGACAACTAGAATATACTTTTTTTTTCTTGCACAGGTCTGTTGCTTCTGAACTTGAAAAGATACAGAAGTTTAACTGTATCCTTAAACTGAATGTACTGTTTAGCATAATAGCTCCCTTTCCATTCTTGGCTCAATTCATTACTTAGTACTTTATGAATATTAATCCACAGTTACAAACATTTAAGACTGTAATGCAAGGTATATCTTGTCTATAGAAGATACATCATGTTAACATTTATACTTTTCTTCAGGCCTAAACTAAACTGAGCAAAAAACAGTAAACTAGGGTTAACGTCTTCTCTGGAGACTTTTTTACGTACATAATTATATAATAAATTATAACTGTTTAAGACCTATTTCAGATACTACACAAATTGTTTATAATCCTGTCATCCCTACTTTTAAAAACATTCTCTTATCTTCACTTAAAAAAAGTTATTGAGATTTTTATTTCCTCTTTACCATAGACTTCCACCCAAACACATACATACTCTCTCTTCTTTCCTTCTCCTTTGTACTGTAACTAGTTTTCCCATCCATAAGGGGTAGTCTCATAAGCTGTGAAGTCCCAACTCTATTGTGAATCCAAGAGATCTTTCTCTCCATTAAGAAATAATAGTTTAGGCTGGGCATGGTGGCTTACTACTGAAATCCCAGCACTTTGGGAGGCCAAGGTGGGAGAATCACTTGAGACCAAGAGTTCAAGACAAGTCTGGGCATCATAGACCTGTTTCTACCAAAAAAAAAAAGTTAGTTGGATGTGGTGGTGCATGCCTGTAGTCTCGGCCACTCATGAGACTGAAGTGGGAGGATCACTTGAGTCCAGGAGTTTGAGGTTACAATGAACTATGATCATGCCTCTGCATTCCAGCCTAGGTGACAGAGTAAGACCTTGTCTCTAAAAAAAAGAAAAAAAAAGAAAGAAATTTTAGTTTAATATGAAGCCCAGGCTTTCTGAAAATAAAAATATATAATGAAAAATGTGGGGAAAACTCCTTAACTAAGCAACTCAGTGCTACTGGAAAATAGTGGTGTCCTAAACCAGACTTCAAACAAGAAAAATGAACAGTCTTCTGATAGTTATAAACTAAGATCTTCAGAAATTTTGCTAGAAGAAGTTACTGAAAAGAGAGTATCAGTAGCATTGAAGAAAACCTCAGAAATCCTTCAGGATATTGACTGCCTTCTGTCAAACTCTAAAAAATGAAACATGGAATTATTACAATATGTTATTAAATTTCAAGGATGTTGTTTCAAGTGACTGGTATGAAATTACTAGCAAGCCAAGAAATTGTATATATTACTTCTGCATAATGATTACTGGTAATTGACATTTAACTTTGGAAGTATTTTAATTTGTAAATTTTAAAAATATATTGTTTTATAATACATTTTATTAATAAAGAACCTATTTAAAAATTTTAAACTATTTTATTTCTTCAGATGTATGAGAAAATATTTGTAAATAAAGTTGTTGCTGTTTTTACCTTGTGGAGCATTCACTACTAATTTTTAGGCTTTTTTTTTAAGGTACAAAATTGTGTATTTTGTCATTTGCTATTTAGTTCTCTACTCCAAGTATTTTTCAGTAAAACTATAGGAAGAGTCTAGACCTAAACAAACAAACACAAAATTATCTAGGCAATACTTCAAGCTAAAAATCAAATGCTTCAGTGAAGATTAAATTTTATCTAAACTGTCTCATGAACCACACTTGCATTTCTTTCTAACATATGGAAAGATTTATGCTGCAAAGTGTGTGAAATTAAGAGAACTGAATTTACCAAAAGTGCTATTTATTACAGCCTTGTCTATTGGGAAAAATAAAGCCACACATCTAAAAAGACTTCAAGATTATATCAAATACAACCAGAAGTGTTCTAATTTCTATAAAAAATCTGGCCTTTCAAGTAAAAGGGAAGAAGCAACAGAGGAAACAGGGAAATGGAGAGAAAAGAGTATTGTAGATCAGGAATTAGAATGTTAGTTGAATGGACATAGTGCCATCTTTTTAGATCCTCTCAAACTGGATACTATATTTTAGGTCTCGGCACAAATACTTCCTCAGGGGTGCCTCCCTGACTACCTGACTCTAGTTAGCATCTCCTAACTCTATTACATCACCTTATTTCCTTTACAGTACTTAGTACACCGTCTAGCTTGTTTCTTTAAAAAAAAAAAATTTATTGTATAGATGAGGTCTCGCCAAGTTGCCCAGGCTGGTCTTCTCGTACCTGCTGGCTCAGCCTCCAAAAGTGCTGGGATTATGGGCGTGAGCCACTGTGCGCAGCCTAGCTTCTTTAGGGTCTGTATCCTCCACTAGAATGTGAGCTCTGTAAAGACATTCTGTGTAGCACACGAGTACTCAGTATGTGTTGTATAAATCAATCAGTGCATTTAGACTGTAGACTGACTACAGAAAAGAGAACTGCAACCATTTTGTTCTGTTTTAGTTTTCAGGCAATCATCTACGATGTTCCTCAGTATCTTCAGAAGGCCTAGACTATGGTAACATTTGTACCATGCATCAGGGTAATGCCCAATTGTTACTGCATTCAGATGGAGAAAATCTGTTTTAACATGGCTAAAAGCACCCAAAATTGTAAATATGTGACATGTATTTTTGATTAGCTTTTAAGCTATGTGGGGGTTAAAATGTGTATAATTCTCCACCCCCCCCAACAGTTGAGTCTTTTCCGTTGGCTAACAACGAAGCGATGAAAAGTTCCGATTGAGAAACTTTAATGTTTGGTGAGTGGTCTGGGAGTTTGCTAGAGGCTGAAAATTCTCATTTCCTATAGTCGCTTTCAACTATAGAATTAATACAACATCACGGCTGCTCTTACTCTCTGACACTTGTTTTGCAAAACTAGGTAAGGGACAAAACAGTGCCCCTCCTTGGGCCTCTTCATTTGGGCCAGTGCTTTCTAGAGCCACTACTTGGTGGTAAGACAGCAGCCACTACTCGGCAGAGACAGGAAAGGACCTGGGCACAATCCCAGTAAACAAACTGTATCTTGTGAGTCCAGGTCATTAGGGTCAAACTATCCCGTGCGCACTTGCTTTTTCGACTCTTGAGGATTAAATGGTATAGCCACGTCACCGCTGTCTACAAGAAAGAGGAGCCTCCCAACATCCGCCCGCGTGGTGGCAAAGAATTATCAAGAAATCCCCAAGGGGGCGGTGAAAACTGCCGAGGAGCGTCGTGTCTGCGAGGTCACGCGGTGCCTCCGTCTCTCGATAAACCCCGTCGCCCGCCCTGAAGGATTCACTGAAGGAAGCTGGCAGTATCGCTACGCCTTCCAGCTTTCCAGCCTTCCAGCCTCCCGATGGCCCGTGGCTCCTGGCGGGAGGACCCGTGCGTCCGACATTGGGTGAGGCCGCTTCTCGGTCCTCAACGGCCACTCGCGTGCGTCGTGGGATGTTGGCTACGTTTGTGGGGCGCGGCGCCGGTCAAGCCGAGAAACGAATCCTCAGGTTTGACAGAAGGAAACCAAGAAGGTCCTTTTCCTATCTCACTCCGTCGGCCCAAGGGTCTTCTTTGCGGGGAGAGGATGGGCGGAGGGGGAGCTCGAGGTCTAAGCTTTCAACGCCCAGCCGTCGCTCTCTTTCGACTCGGAGGGAGGCAGGTATCCCGGCGTCCTCTCGGCCAACGTTCCCGGCTGAAGTCGCTCTGGCTGGCGCCTGGCGTCTCTATGGTGCCGACCGAGGGGCGGAGAAGAGGGGCGGGGCCGCAGTTCGCGGCGCTGCTTGCTTCAGTCGTGAGAACCGAGGGGTGGGTACGGCTGAGCTGCCGCGAGGGGCAGGGCGGTAGGGGACTCCGGGAAACTGTCCTGAGGTGGGAGGCCGGAAGCAGGGACTCCTCGAGAGTGACGTCTGGAAGGTCCGGACGTGCTGGAAGGGCAGGCACGCGAGAGTGGGAGCGAGCGGGCTGTGCGTGTCTTGCGGGCCGGGCCGGGCCCTCAGTCCTCGCGCACCTGCCAGGAGCCCTGGATCTCCAGCCCTCGCCTGGGCTCCGCGGCCGCGGCATCTTCCTGGCCCGGGGCAAGGTGCCCGGGGTCTTGCCGGAGGAGCCCACTGCCGTCCCTGACAGGGGTAAGACCCCTGCGCGGATCCCTAGAGGCTTGAATGTTGAAAGGGAGACACGGCCCCTTCCCTCCACACACTAAGGCTTCCTGCCCTCCTTTTAAAAATGACATTTTAAATCAATCAGCCTCGGAAAAGGATGTCTTTGGGAATTTGCTGAGACGTTGAACATGTTGAAATTTAGAGTTTTATGTTTTGTGCGTAATGGTCATGGGAGCTGTGTATTTGATGTGCAGACATCTGACGGTTGTAAAAAGTTTCGGTGAAAGTAAGCAAGATTTGTATTTTCTTTTTTTGTCAGTTAATTGCATTAGATTTGGCATCTGCTCTTTTTTTTTTTTTGAGTTGGAGTCTCACTCTGTCACCCAGACTGGAGTGCAGTGGCCGCTCCCGGCCACCGCAGCCTCGACCTGCTGGGCGCCGGCGATCCCTCCGCCTCAGCCTTCCAAGTAGCTGGAACTACAGGCGCGCGCTACCACGCCCCGCTAATTTTTTATTTAATTGTAGAGATGAGGTCTCACCAAGTTGCCCAGGCGGGACTCGAACCCGTGGGCTCAGGCAATCCACTCACCTCAGCCTCCCAAAGTGCTGGGATTACAGCCTGAGCCACCGAGCCCGGCTTGGCATCTGCTTTTGGTGTTTCAAAATAAAGAGATTAAGTTTCACACCAACTACATACAGTTCAATGATGAGGACGTGTTGGTAAAGCTTGATAAAGGCAGCTTTTGAATTTTGGACTGTGTTTTTACTTCAGACTTTTCTAAGTAATTTGTGAGGTTGGTGAGAAAGAGGGAAGGCTGAAGCAGAAGCTGACATTTACCTTGAAAAATTGTCAGCTTTTATTTGACAGAAATAATGTCTATGAGATTATTAGCAAACAATACATGATAGCATATAATTAAATTATATATAATTATATAATTATGTGTGTGGAGTTAAGGAAAGGAGGGATTGCTACTGTGTGTTCTGCGAAGGCCCCATTGTTAATGGCATTGACTGTAATGGGGATGGGATGTGACAAAGTTTGACCATTGCAGAAAGTGGCTCCTGCAAGTCATAGAGAGAAATTTATGATGTGGCTTTTATGTCAGAGAAGTCATCCCAAATATCTTTACTTCATAGGCTGAGGATTGCTTCTATGCTTATGTGTGTATTAGTATAATGAAATGTTTATTAAACACCTTGAGCACATTAGATTTTATGCATAACAAATTTAAAAGAAAATTATAATTATAACTCTTAAGGAACCTTCTCAACAAAAGTGAATATGTAAAATAAACTTAAGAGTTTAAGAGATTAAGGAGTCTATTTTATTTGTTTTTTTATTTGTTTGTTTCTTTTTTGTTTTTTTGAGTTGGAGTCTCACTCTGTCGCCCAAGCTGACCACCACTGCAACCTCGACCTGCTGGGCTCAGGTGATCCTTCCGCCTCAGCCTTCCAAGTAGTCTCAGCCTTCCAAGTAGCTAGAACTACAGGCACGCGCTACCATGCCCAGCTGTTTATTTATTTATTTATTGTAGAGACAGGTCTCCTCAAGTTGCTCAGGCTGGTCTCGAACCTGCGGGTTCAGGCAATCCACTCACTTTGACCTCCCAAAGTGCGGGGATTACAGCTGAGCCACCAAGCCCGGCCAGGAGTCCATTATATTTGTAAAGGGAGGAACAGAAATTGGAAAATAAAAGAAAAAGTTTTAAGAAGAAAAATGGTTGTACTTATGTATCCTAATTGTAGACAATACATAATAGAGGTAGAATACTTAGTAAATTTATCTTTATTTCTTTATTTCTTTATTTTTTTGAGTTGGAGTCTCACTCTGTCACCCAGACTGGAGTACAGTGGCCGCTCCCAGCCACTGCAGCCTCGACTTGCTGGGCTCCGGTGATCCTTCCGCCTCAGCCTTCCAAGTAACTGGAACTACAGGTTCGCGCTACCACGCCCGGCTGATTTTTTATTTTTATTGTAGAGATGAGGTCTCACCAAGTTGCCCAGACGAGTCTCGAACCCGCGGGCTCAGGCAATCCACTCACCTCAGCCTCCCAAAGGCATGGGATTACAGGCTGAGCCACCGATTCCGGCTCAAAATTTATCTTTTCGTACTCAGAATCTAAGCCGGAGAAGTTAAGTACCTGCACCAATAGTTGGAGTGGAATAGATGCCAGAATATGTGTTTCTGAAACCACAATTATACCTTTCTTAAAAATAGAAATAATACTGTTCTAGGTACGTAGGGCTGTGTAACAAATTACACCAACACTTAGAGACTTAAAACAGTAAACAATTACCATTTCATTTTTTCTGTGGGTCAGGACTTTGGAATTGGCTTAGCTGGGCATTTCTGGCCCAGGACAGTTGCAGTCACCTGAAGGTTTGACAGGCTGAAGGATCTGCTTCCAAGTTCACTCTTGTGAACTTTTGTTCCTCTTTCATCAAGTAAGCTGTTTATGCTTTTCATTTATAAAATGCATTTGTGTCATCCCCATGATGTTTTTGTGTTCCTATTCATAAACCATGACACAATTATTCTTTTTCTTTTCAGGTTATTTTAAATTTTAGCTCATCATGTAAATACTTGAAGTAATTGTTTGAATTTTTTCATTGCTCATGACATTTTATTAGCTACCCAATCTTTTTAGAATTTGAACTCATCGTGTAAAATGTAAGGTTAGTATGCCAGGTATGGTAGCATATGCCTGTAGTCATAGCTACTCAGGAGCCTGAGGTTAGGAGGACTACTTGAGACCATGAACTTGAGGTTACATGAGTTATGATGATATCATTGCACTTCAGCCTGGGTGACAGAGTGAGATCCTCTCTTAAAAAATAAAAAGGTAAGATTAGTAACATTTAAATATATATTGTGATTATAAAAATTGCTTCATGAATTAAAGAAAAGGCAATGCATTTGTTTTATAGTGACATGAAATTTGCTGTTAAGTAGATGTTGGTCTTTTTTGTCTGCCTTCTGGGATGAGATTTGAAAATAAAATTGGAGTTTATATATATATATACACACACACGTGTGTGTATATATGTAGTATGTATATATAGTGTTGTGTATATATATGTATATGTCATATATATATACACACACTATGTTTTTATGTGCATCACATATATGTTTGCATGTGATGCACATAAAAACAGTTTGAATGGCAGCAGAGTTTTTGTGTTAAGCCTCCGGATGAATTCTTCTCACCCTCATCCACCTGAATGGCCTTCTTTCTCCTTGGGGCTAATGAAAGGCCACAGCTTACTGAAGGGGAATATTGCTGCTGCTTCTGCTGTGCCTGTCTGGCTTGGCCATTAATTCAAGCTTTCTGTGTCCCACTTCCTGCCTAGCTAAATGGATAATGGCATTTTTTTTTGGTTCAAGGGACATTTTTATAAACTTTAAAGTTATATGCACTAAACCTTTAAATACATTGACTTCTTTATCCACTCCAGTGTTGAATGTCTGTTTATTTTCTAAAGGAGAGGCAATGATTCATAATTTGTGACATTATGAATCCTGAGATTTATAGAAAGGATTCATGATCTTGTAATGGAGGTATCTTTGGCATTTTTTGTATTTTGGTCACATCTCTGGGTTGAAAGTTCCTATGGATCATTATTTCCTCTTCTGAAGAATCTGTAGAAAATAACTCAATCTTGGTGCTTTAGAGAACAATTTTCATGATTACAAATGATCAAGAATTTGAGGATTGTTGTAGACTCCAGTATCATTAGCAAAATAGCTGTTCTTTGCAAAATAAGTATTCTTCACATAAGGAATCTACATAAGTTTATTTTATGTGAAGATATTTCATGTAGACTTTTCATGTGTCAACTAATACATAACAACAAATTATTTTTACATTATATTATTTGACTTATGAGATTGTACACAATTTTATTAATGTTAACTACTGTTATGTATTTTAATGTTTTTTTTTTTTTTTTGAGTTGGAGTCTCACTCTGTCGCCCAGACTGGAGTGCAGCGGCCGCTTCCGGTCACCGCAGCCTCGACCTGCTGGGCTCCGGCGATCCTTCCGCCTTAGCCTTCCGAGTAGCTGGCATTACAGGCGTGCGCTACCACGCCCGGCTGATTTTTTCATTTATTGTAGAGATGAGGTCTCGTTGCCCAGGCGGGTCTCGAACCCGCGGGCTCAGGCAATCCACTCACCTCAGCCTCACAAAGGTGCGGGATTACAGGCTGAGCCACCGAGCCCGGCTATTTTAATGTTTTTACTGATATTTATTTATGGTGTTATAAATATGTTTCTATATTTTAAAAATTACACTTTTAAGATTCGGATTGTAGCATCAGTTATGAGATGTTTATTTGTTTCTGGCTTTAACATTTTAAAGTATCTTTATTGGTTTTATGGTCGTAATAGTAAGACATTGAAAAGTTTATGAAATCCAAAGAAAGTTTACAAAAAACACATTTATAAGTCCACCACTGCCAGAAAAACCAGATGAACAGTGTTCCAGATTTAATGTATCTGTATGTATTTTTAAACAAAAATGTAATATGTTACATTTTATTTTATAGGCTGTCTTTAAAAATTTAATATTTATTAAGCCTTTTCTATGTCAATAAATATGGGAATAAGTATTTTTAATGACTGTATCATATTGTGTTTATTTCACTAGTCTCATATTTCAGACATATTGTTTTAAATTTTTTCTTATTTTAAACAGTGCCATGCTGGACATTCTCATATAGCTCTTTGTATTTATCTAACTATTTTCTTATTTTCCTAGAAATGAATTTTTTTTTTTGAATTGGAGTCTCACTATTTCCCAGGCTGGAGTGAAGTGGCACAATCATGGCTAACTGCATTCTCAACATCCTGGGCTCAGGCTATCTTTCTGCCTCATCCTCCCAAGCAGCAGAAACTATAGGTGCACACCACCATGCCTAGCTAATTTTATTTTTTGTATAGACGAGATCTTGCTGTGTTGCCTAGGCTGGTCTCAAACTACTTGGCTTCTTGGCCACCCAAGGTGCTAGGGTTACAGGGATAAGCCACTGTGTCCAGCCCCTGGACATTTTGAGTCAAAAGTGTTTGCTTATTTTTTTATGGTTTTCGATACATAGTCAAATTGTCCACTAGAAAGGCTATACCAATTTATACTCTTGCTAATAATCTTTAAGAGTTATCATTTCCCTACTGCTATTGAAGAGAGTATAAGTAATCTTTTTTAAGCTTACACTTACATCTCATTGCTTTAATTTGAATTCAGTTGGTTACTAATAAAACTGAAATCTTTTTATAATTTTTTCTTTGTACTTCCTCCTTTTGTACTTCCTTTCTACTTCCTCCTTTTGTACTTTCTCCTTTTTCAAGTTGCCCTTTCACGTACATTGCCCACAGTATTGTTGAGGTACTTATTTGTTCTTACTAATTTTAAGAGCTCTTATCAAATTAGAGCTTTTAATTTTTCTCTGTCATAAATGTTCTAAATTTCCTCCATTCATTTGTCTTTAACTTTGCTGTGCAGAAGTAAAGCCTATCAAATTTTTAAAAAGTAATTTTTAGCTTCTCTAGCTAGCTGGACTATGTAGAATTCTGTTTACAACTTCATATGAATATTCTAAATTTGGTTACCAAACTGACTACAAAAACTATCTAGCCATGACAACTTTTTGGGCAACTAGTGAGACAAACTGATTCCCTTTCTTTTTTTTTTTTTTGAGTTGGAGTCTCACTCTATTGCCTAGGTCGGAGTGCAGTGGCACGCTCACAGCCACTGCAGTCACGACCTGCTGGGCTCAGGCGATTCTTCTGCCTCAGCCTTCTAAGTAGCTGGAACTTCAGGCATGCACCACCATGCCCAGCTAATTTTTTGAGGTATTGTAGAGATGAGGTCTTGCCAAGTTGCCCAGGCTGGTCTCAAACCTGTGAACTCAGGCAATCCTCTCACCTCGGCCACCCAAATTGCTGGGATTATAGATGTGAGCCACAGCGCCGGGCCTGATTCCCTTTCTTAATTTGACTAGAGAAATAGTCTATATTGTAAAACCCTAATCCATATGGATGTGACATTTTAAAATCGAAGGTTGTTTGTATAAACTGTACATTATACAGACTATAGATACCCTGCCACACTCCGAATTTTGTATTGAGAGCAAAGAAACAAATACTGCCAAGAATCTTTCATGGCAGCAGTAGACAAGGCAGTACTGGCAGCAATTCCACTGGTAACATTGGAGTTTGGGCAGGGCAAGCTATGCTCAGTCCAGCAGGGATGCTGGCTGTGGGTGAGGGAAAGGAAAAACTGAAGCCCTAGAGGACAAAATGGAACCTGCATCAGCCTCTCACCAATTTCCAATTTTGATGCTGTGGGTGACCTGCAGGAGAGGCTGACTTTCTTGACTTTGGAGCTGCATATGCAGGATGTGGAAGCTAAAAGAACACCTGACGAGATCTGAAGGAACTTCTTTGATACCAACGAGGTGAGCTAACAGATTAGCAGCAACACATGTAAGCTCCACAGTGTGCCCTGCAGAGTGTAAAAATATGGCTGCTGCTTCATTTTTGCCTTCTAAATCTTATGAAAAATGTCTCCCTTAGCTAACACTACCCAGAACTATATAAGAATGGGAATTCTTGGAGATGTAAGTCCACTTTAGTTTAAGTTGACATAGTATATAGCCATCAGAGCTTTAATTAATTAATCTTTTTCATCTTTTAATAAAGTATTATAATTTTCTTCATACACATTTCCTATTTAGTTTATTCTTTGGTGTTTTGAGTGTTTGCTGTTGTGAATATTCATTTTCCAATCATTTTTTCTTATGATTATTGCTGGTATAATGAAAAATTTACTACTTAATTTGAATTAACCACATTTTTCAACTTAACTTCCAACAGTTTTCTATTGGTTCTCTTGGATAAGCAGTCAGTTCCCCTGCAAACAGATGTAATGAACCCTTTCTTCCCGAGAATGTAATGATACATTTTCTTCCCTCTCTCCCCCATTTTTCTTTCTTTTCCCTTTTACATTGATTAGAACTACCAGAACAATGTTGTAATACTATACTCTTTCTGAGTTTTAAGGTAGTATTTCTGGATTTTTACCATTTTTCATTTCTGAACTAAATGGTTTCATCACTTTTGGTAAATTACTGGTTCTAAGTGTTTAGGGGTTGTACATTACCTGGTTGTACATTCTTATTAAAAATTAAAATTCCCAGGAATGTATGCTACATTTTATTAAATGATTTTTAAGTATTTAATGCATAATACCTGCTGCATAATAGATACAATATATGATACTTTTTTCATTGAGTCATTCAACAGATATTTATTTAGGACCTAGTATATGCTGAGGATATAGTGGTAAACAAAATGGACAAAAGTTCTTGCCCCCTGAGCTTTTGTTTTCTTTCCTGAAGTTTTTATAGAGCATAAACACTTGATAGGCAAGTCTTTTGAACCTAAAGTTACTACTTTCAGCATTATTTAAGCTTAGTATCTTTGAGCTCACTATGCCACTGTATTTTCTTTCTAACCTGTTAAAAAGTGAAGAGTCATATTGCATTGTGGTCAGATAATATAGCCTAAATGTTTCTACTTTTTAAAATTTTTATTGAGGTTTTTCTTGTGGTTGAATAAATGTGTGATTAACTTTTATAAATGTCCTATGGACATTTGAAGAATGTGCATTCTTTGTAGTATACACTGTTCTAGACCTGATTATCTATGCTTTTTTGACTACTTGATTTAACTTATATATTTTACTATGTTGTTTGACATATAAGAGTCTTCTTACCTTATATAACTTTACTGTGTTATGAATATTTTCTCCTTTTTAGTTCTACTTAATTATTTTTACCTTGAATTCTGTATTTGATGTTAATGTTACCATTGCTGTTTTATTTGTTTGTATTTTCTAGACATATATTTTTTCATCTGTTTATTTTCTGTATTAAGACTTTTTATTAAGATGTAGTGTTATTAACAGTATCTTAGTGGAAGCTTCCTTTTACCCCAACATGACTATGTTTGTTTCTTTATAGAGAAATTTAACATAACTCATATTTTTTGTGATATTTAATATGATTGGTCCCTGTTGCTTTTTTGGAAGAGCAGAGGGGAAGTATATTTTTCTTTTCTTTCTTTTTTTTCTTTTCTGTTTTGTTGTATTGAGCAAGTTTTCTTTGCTTGTTCCCCCACCCCCTAGAGATTCAGAAATTCTACTTCTCAACTTCCACCTTCTTCCAGAAATCATACATGAGTGTGTAATTTCTAAGGCAAAACTCTTTAAATTTCGTGTCTGTCACATAGGTGCTATAATTTAGCTATAATTAGAATCCCATTATCCTGATCCTTTTCTCTCAGAGCTCTGTAAATGTTATCTCACAATATTCTGGTATTTAGGCTTGGTGATAATCACATTCTCTTGCAGATAACTTTTTTTGACTTAGAAACTTTAAGAGTTTTCTCTTTATTTTTAGAATTTAGCTTTTCTTTCAATGCCCAACTCTTTGTCCTTTATTTTCTTCCTAAGTTTTGAAAAAATTATTTGAAAAATGATATTTACTGATTTTATTTTTTGAAGCATTCATTCTACTATGCATTACTTTTTTAGTTGGACAATCATGTTTTCATCTCCATAATCTCTTGTTTTTAGATTTCTCATTTTTCTTGGAAGCCTGGTATTTTTATTATCAATAAAGCACATTTAAAATTTTTTTAACATCTTTGTTGAGTATAACTGACATATAATTAACTATATATGTTTAAAATACAGTTTTCTATGTTTTTGCTTATGAATTTGTGAACCATGAAACTATCACAAAAAAGATAATGAGCATACATGTCTTCCCAAAGTTTCCTTATGTTCCTTTTTAATCATTCCTGCCTCTCCTGTCCCCAGAAAATCATGCATCTGCCTTCTGTCATTATAAATTAGTTTGTATTTTTTAGAATTTTACATGAATGAAAAATTCTGTACTCTTTTTAAAAACACATTTCTAAATGAAAATGTCAAACATACAGAGAAGTAGAGAACAGTGTCATGAACTACAATACATGTTACCTAGATTGAACAACTGTAATATTTTCCACATTTTCTTCATTCATTTAATTTTTTAAAATTAATATTTTATTTTTAAAATATTTTGAAATTAATAGACTTTATAAATCTAAGCATCAGTTTTAGGTTTACAAATTGAGGTTAAAATTGAGCAGACATTATAGAGAGTTCCCATAATAGTCCCTTTCCCCTGAACATGTTTCACCCTATAGTTAATATTTGCATCAATGTGGTACATTTGTTACAATTAATGAACCGATATCGATATATTATTATTGACTAACATTCATAGTTTACTTTAGAGTTCATCCTTTGTGTTGTACTACTCTATGTGGTTTTTTTTGTTTGATTTGATTTATTTTACATAGTATAATTATTTTGAGGTTCATTAGTATTTTTGTATCACTTATTTGTTTTATTTTATTTTATTCTTCATTTTGTTTATCCATTCATGTATTGATGGACATTTGGGTTGTTTCCAGTTTGTAACTAATGCAGATAAAGTTGCTATGAACATTCACGTGTAAGTCTTTGCATACACATATACTTTCATTTCTCTTGGGAAAGTAACCAGGAATGGAATATGGTAGGAGTATGTTTAACTTTTTTTAGAATTGGAAAACTTCTTCCAAAGTGGACATATTATTTTTTATTCCTACCAGTGGTGTATGAAAGTTCTGGTTGCTCCACATCTTTGTCAACATTTGGGATTGTCAGTCTTTGATTTTAGTCATTCTAGTAGGTGTATTTGGTACTCATTGTTGTTTTAATTTGCATTTCCTAGTAATTAATTATGTTGAGCATATTTCATATACTTATTGGCTATCTACATATTATCTTTGATAAAGTACCTTTTCAAATCTTTGCCCATTTTTGTATGTTTGTTTGTTTTTTTATTACTATGTTTTGAGAATTCTTTGTATATTCTGGATGCAAGTCTTTTATTAAGTAGAAGATTTACAAATGTGTTCTCCCATTCTGTAGCTTGTTTTTTCAATGTTGTTTTTCAACATTGTCTTTCAAAGAACAGAAGTTTTAAATTATGATGAAGTTCCATTTATCAATTTTTAATGGGATTAAGCTTTGGATGTTGCATCTAAGAACTCTTTGTATCACCTAAAGACAAAAATATTGTTAGGTTACAATATATATCCCAACAGGGCTTCCAAATGTTTAGTCAGATCCACTGGGGTAGGGTCGTGCAATCTTGTATGAAAGATGCAAAAAATTGCATAGAAGTTAGATTGGAAAGTACAGTTTATTTAAAAGGTGAATGAGAGAGAGAGAGAGAGGGGATTCACCGCGCCAAGGTAGGAGAGGGGGGCCAAAGGCTAGGAAAGATGGCGGTGATCGTAGCTCAAAGAGCACATGGCCCCACCAGAGTCTAGTAAAGCAATGGTGAATGGCTGCTTGAGGTTGAATGCTTTTAAACATTCTCCTTTGATGGGAGCATGTCGTTAAGGTGCTTGGGTGACACGTCTGCTCCATGTTATCATAGAGGGGACAGGTTAGCACAGGTACTGATATCAGGTGATGGATGGCAGGCAGATGGGTGGGTTAGTCACAAGATTGTTGCCATGGTGAAGGGGTCTGTGTCACAAGGGTCATGAGGGGTTGATTAGGTTAACTTGGGTCTTATGAGTGGAGGCAAATACATGAAAAAGAAAAGCTAATTAGTGCAAAACAAGCTAGGGAGGGGGACTTGTAAAGCAATTATCAGTAGCTACCTCTGAGAAAACACTTCTGTCCTTGGCTAGTGATTAGAAGGTAAGTTAAGTGAACTGCTAGAGAAACATGAGAGTTGGGCAATGTTAAAATGACTGCTCTTTGGGTATATTAAATCCATGTTATGTCCTTTCAAATATATTGTGTTTTCTTCCAGAAATTTTGTATGTTTTACATTTACATTTGTGATCTATTTTGAAATAATTTTTATATATGGAGTAAAGTATGGATTGAAGTTTATTATTTTTGCATATGGGTATCCAGTTGTTCTAGCACCATTTGTTAAAAATAATATTCTTCTTCCTTTGATTTATTTTTGCACTGTTAAAAATTAATTGACCATGTATGTGTGGATCTGTTTTTGATTCCACTCTCTATTCTGTTTTCTTGATATCAATGTCATAATGTCTTGATTGCTGTAGCTGCACAATAAGACTTAAAATCAGATGGTGTAAGTCCTCCAACTTAGTTCCTCTTTTTCAAAGTTGTTTTTGTATTATAGGTCCTATGCATTTTTATATAAAATTTAGAATAGATGTAATGAACTATGTACAGTTTTTATTGCAGGATGAAAATTGAGTCATTCTCAGTAAATAATTTAGTTATTCTTTAATCTCAGAATGAAAACAAAACAATATTAAAAAAACTTCAGGTATCCCACAATATTGATAACTTTAACTAGATAAATAATTTTAATATTCTGTGCCAGGTAAGAACTCAACACAGAATACAATTGCCTTTTTTTTTTTTTTTATTATTAGTTATGGTTCTTGGTTAGAGGCAACAGAAATGAAAAGGGGATTTATTGGGAAAATTCTAGGGTAACTCACAGAAGTAAAGGATTAGCTGCAGGATTTAGTACAGCTCTAGAACCTCAGAATTTGGGCCTATGGACTTAATGTCCTCACGATTCTCTTTGCCTTTTGTCTTTGTGTCTCTCTGGGATTTTATTTTTCTACATTGTGTCACTTAGTGAAGCCCATGGCCTCCAAGAAGAAGCACTTTCTCTATGCTCCACCAAGAAAAATTTTGGAAGGGAGTCTGATTGGCTCGGCCTGAGTCACTCTTATCACTAGATTAATCATTGTTACTAGGAAGACGGACTAGATTAATATTGTTACTAGGAAGACGGACAACTAATTGGTCAGCTCTAGAGGTTAGGTAATGTGATAAGCAGTTTTCCCAAAGGAAGAGGATACTGGTGTCAGAAGAAATATAGAAAGTAGTTGTTGGATACACAAAAGCAATGACTGTCCACTATCATTTGGTATACACTGCTGAGAATAGAGCTATTTGATGACTTCAAAGCAATAGATTACAGTGAGCTTTCTGAAATTCTTCTTGATACATGCTATCATATAAACTGTTGTTCCTACAAGGCTAATCTGTTATCCTTGAATTATATTGCATATTATATATAATATATGAGATGACAGTTTTTATAACTTGGTTTATATTCATGAAATTACTGATACTTTGTTTAAATATATGGCAATCCATAATCTTTATTAATATTTTTCTCTATATTTTAGGTTACTGAAATGTAAACAAGAATAGAGTGTTTCTGATGGCTTTTAGTATACACTGACTTATTGTTTGTGATGGCATCCGAGACTGAGAAGACCCATGCTTTACTCCAGACTTGTAGTGTTCAATCTCTCATTTCCAGCCTTGCTCTGGGGATATTTTGCCTCATAGCTGATAGACTTCTTCAGTTTTCCACAATTCAGCAAAATGCCTGGCTTCGTGCCCTCTCAGATAATGCAGTACATTGTGTGATAGGCATGTGGTCTTGGGCAATAGTCATTGGAATAAAGAAGAAAACTGACTTAGGAGAAATCATTTTAGCTGGATTTTTAGCATCTGTTATTGATATAGATCACTTTCTTCTAGCTGGATCCCTGTCTTTAAAGGTAAGAAGCATATATGTTTAATTTGGGGGGGCGTTTAATTTCTTTACAGCATCATTTAGAGCTAGAGAAGATTCATCTTAAAATAATAAAGCCAGCCAGACTCAGTGGCTCAGCCTGTAATCCCAGCACTTTGGGAGGCCGAGGTGAGTGGATTGCCTGAATCCCCAGGTTCGAGACCGGCCTGGGCAACTTGGCGAGACCTCATCTCTTCAATAAATCAAAAATTAACTGGGTGTGGTAGCATGCACCTGTAGTTCCAGCTACGTGGAAGGCTGAGGTGGAAGGATCACCAGAGCCCAGCAGGTTGACACTGGGGTGGCTGTGAGCATGCCACTGCACTCCAGCCTGGGGGACAGTGAAACTCCAACTCAAAAAATAAAAAAAATAATAAAACCCATTCATTCAACTTTTTTGATCACTTAGTACTTTCCTAAAGATGCATACAGACCTGTTGTTAATCAAATCTCAAAGTGCTATGGACGTTCTTAGAATAACACCCACTAACTCTACCTAAGGAGTTCAGTGCTAGCTTACACTGAAGGATATATGTAGCCAAGTCTTGAAGGAAGTATTAGCAAACTGGTCTAATTTAACAAGTGTCATTCTTAGGGCTATCCTAGTTCTTTCTGCATCAGTAGTCTTTCTTCAGGACCACACCTTAAATTTCCCCCTTATTTTTTTGTGGTTTATAGTTAGTATGCAGCTCCTAAGTACTACATAAAAGTTGAATAGCTTTGAGATGATTCCCAGTCCTGGGGAATGACTTGAATGGATTCATTCCTCCAGCCCCTCTTGGGACCAAAGGCATGCATCTCACTGGACTGGCTAGAATATAGTCCCTTGTGGAGAAACTGAGGGATTTCATTGAAGCATTCAGGAGTTTAACGATACAGTGACTTAAACTAAATGAAGTAAACTAAAAATGATGGTTCAGATAATATTTTATAATTATCAAAAGATTTGCCTACCTTTTGCATGTATATGATCTATAAATATTTCAGGAATGAAATATAAATATATAGAGCAAGAACTTTGTCTGTTCTGTTCAACACTGGCCTAGAACAATGCCTAATTTACCTGCTAGATATTCAGTAAATATTTGTTGGATGAATGAGAAATATTCACTTCCTCCTCTTATTATGTGTCAAGTACCTGTTTCTCAGAAATTGTCTCACTTATTTGGTGACTTCATTAGTAAAGACTCAGTATTTGCTGATTAAAGACAAATTTTAACTTTTTTGCTATCAGTGGAAGCAAAATAACATTTTTGTTTAAGATTGGAATCAGAAGCCGGGCTTGGTGGCTCAGCCTGTAATCCCGCGCCTTTGGGAGGCTGAGGTGAGTGCATTGCCTGAACCCGCAGATTCGAGACCCGCCTGGGCAGCAAGACCTCATCTCTACAATAAATCAAAAAAAAAAAATCAGCCGGGCATGGTAGCGCACGCCTGTAATTCCAGCTACTTGGAAGACTGAGGCAGAAGGATCGCCAGAGCTCAGCAGGTCGAGGCTGCAGTGGCCGGGAGCGGCCACTGCACTCCAGTCTGGGTGACAGAGTGAGACTCCAACTCAAAAAAAAAAAAAAAAGATTGGAATCAGAAGACTTGCATTTGAATTCTGGTTGTGTGTTGTTAGAAGAGCACTTTTTCTCTTAAATTTCAGTTTTTTCATCTGTGACATGTGGATTATAACATTACTTACCTTGTAGGATTGTAGTGAGGGTTAAGTGAACATGGTAAATGACATAGCCTGGTAAATATTAACAATAAATGTTAGTAGAGATTGGGATTAGCTATGCAATATTGTAAAAAATGCGCTTTACAAATTCTATTATTGTTTTTATTTTTTGAGTCAGGGTTTCACTCTGTCACCCAGGCTAGAGTGCAGTGACACAATCACGACTTACCACAGCCTCAACCTCCTGGCTTCAAGCAATCCTCCCACCTCAGCCTCCTGAGTAGCTGGGACTACAAGCATGTTCACCTTGCCTGGCTAATTTTTTTGTTTTGTTTTGTTTGTAGAGATGAGGTCTCACTATGTTGCCTAGGCTGGTCTTGAACTCCTGGTCTCAAGCAGTCCTCTTGACTTGGCCTCCCAAAGTGCTGGGATTACAGGCATGAGCCATGGTGCCCAGCGACCTATTGTAATTTTTAAAAGCATTTGGGCTGTATAGCATATTTATCTTTTAATTCATTTTGAAGCACTAGTATGAAGAATATGAACTATGGAGTCACACAGGCGCAGTATCAGATCCCAGCTTTGCTACTTATTAATTGCCCAACATGGGGGAAGTGACTAGCCTCACTAACTCTCAGTTTCTTCCACTGTAAAATACTACCTGCAACACAGGGTTGTTATAAGGATTACATGAGATAGTGCACATAAAGTACAACATAGTGGTAGTATTGATCTTTATTTTTGAATGAAGTATTAATTTTTTTTCATATTCACCATAAGGTGTCATGAAATTATCAGTAATATAAAAACTGAATAAGTATTGGTGACAATTGCCCATTTTTTACTTTTACGATTCTATGATTATGCCATTTTTTCTTTCTTTATTTTTTTCTATTAACAAAAAAACCACATTGATATTTTAGAAATCAGCCAAGCAACAAAACGTTCTTATTTGTTTTTAAGCATCTATTAATCTAAATAGACATTAATTCACAAATGAAAGTGTAACGAATAGTATCCCTCTAAACATACCCAGAGTATGACTGCTAATCATCTCAACATCAGGTTATTATTTTCTTACAAGTAGTGATTACCATAGGCTCCTTGATTCCACTCTGCTATTGAAAATCTGTCTCAGCCTCCCAAGTAGCTGGGACTGCAGGCATGTGCCATCACACCCAGCTAATTTTTTTTTGTAGAGACTAGGACTTACTATGTTGCTTAGGTCGGTCTTGAACTCTTGGGCTCAAGCAGTCCACCCGCCTCAGCTTTCCAAAGTACTGGGATTACAGGCATGAGCCACTGCACCTGGCCTTAGACCTCTGCTTTTTAAATTAATCTTTTACTATCTGTTTTTGGCAGTTTTTAATTATGTCCTTTAACTTTCCACTTATTAGCTAAGCAACAATCATTGAGCTTATTTTACTTTTCTTTTTTCCCTTCTCTTGTCCTATTTTTTTAGTTGCTTTTTTTCTCCTTTCTCAGAACATACAATATTTATGAATTATTTTTACACTCTTTTGCCACTTTTGTTTTTTAGTCTTTTGTCTCACTTAAATTTATTAAATGCTCATCATCAGTTTTTTGTTTTTGTTTTTTTGCTAAGATTTTTTTCAGTCATTTCTTGGTTGGCTGAAACTCATCCTCTTGTAGATTCTTCAAGAAGGTTCATGAATACAAAATTTTCATGAACTCTTGCGTGTTTAAAACTATTTGTCTTAGCTTTGGCATTAAAAGGAGAGTTTAGCTGGATATAAAATCCTTGGCATGCATTTTCTTTCCTTGAGGATTTTGAAAATGCTGCTCCATTGTTTCCTTCGTGTTTGATTTTTTGAGAATACTGATGCCAGTCGAATACTCTTGCCTCTGTAAGTATTTCATCTTTTTGCATGGAGTCCTTAAGGATTTTTCCTTTATCTTTACAGTAATGGTTTTACTAAACTGTCTTGAAGTTTATCTTTGAGTCAATTTTTTACTATGGGGTCTTTTAATACATAGTTTCAGGTCTTTTATTTTCACAATTTTCTTGAATTATAGCTTTAAGTACTAGTATCATTTCATTCTTTTGTTTTTCTTCTTTAGAGACTCCAATTATACACATGTTGTTTCTATTTTTACCTGTCTTCTATTTCACAGTTTTCTCCCTGAGAAATTATTAATAATAATTTTCCTCTTACTCTTTTTCATTCTTTTGGTTAGTGTCCTGTTTTTTTTTTTTCAGTATTCCTCATTAAACTTTTATTTGACCTGTCCTCCCCTGGACACATTGTAATATAATCATTTATTAGGTTGTTTTTGTCTTTTTAAAAAATACTGTGTTTAATCAACTGTTATTTCTGGTTTTCTGGTTTGTTTTTTTACTTTTTTTCACTTTTGAGTTTATGATTCAAGGTGTTTTTTTAAGTCCCTGTATGGTTGTTTGAGGATATTTAATTTAGTTTGGAGTCTTGTGATAACAATTTTCTTATGCTTCATGTAGTTTTTGTTTTGTTCTGTTTTTTTTTCATATTTGTTCATTTGTAGGAACAGGGTTCAAGAGCTGAGGTGTTTTTATTTTATTTACCTCTAGTACTAGCTTTTTGTATATTTGTTCTGTTTTATTACTTCATTTTATGACATTACATGATTCCATTCTTTGTTTTAAGGTGTTCTTGGTTAAGGCAGTGTTAGCAAAAGGACTAGTGATGAATTGAATGTATTGTATATATACAGAATGTTAAAAACATAAATGTATACGTGTTCTGATGAAGTAGAAATAAAAAGACTTAAAATTTGGAGGATCAAGGGAAACAGCATAGAATAAACTCTTTGATGATCAGTCATTGAGGAGGTAAAGAATACTAGACTGAGGAGTGAGTCTATAAGATTCCTAGTTTTAAAATGGTCTTATTTGACAGTGTGACAAGTAATAGTCTCTTTAATGGATTACTTTTTTCTTTTAAAGTGGCAATAAGATTGTATGTTCTGATTTCTTTTTTTTTAGATAGGAATCTAAATTTTTTTCTTTCACTACTTCTTTTCTTCCTCATCTTCAGTCTCCAGAGAGTGTCTTTCTTTTCCTTTTTTATCATCTTCTCCCCCAGAATCAATGCCTTTCAAAGCCGTGAATCATGCACACTTTTAAGTTCTTTTCCTGTAGTCATGTTCCAATCTATCAAGACCCTCTTCAGTATTTTCACACTTAGTGGAACTTACTCTTTGTAGTAGTATTTTAGATCAATATTAGGTTTCTCCTATTCTGTAGTCAACATAGTTTTTTTGGTTTGTGGAGTGTGTGAGAAAGAGCACACTGAGTTGCTGTTTATTTTAAGACTTACAGATAATTGGAGTTTGGGCATTCTCTGGCTTCTAGTTATGTTGAGGGTTTGGGGTTTATATAGTTTTATTTGTCTTTCATGTTATATGTTTTTGGAGGATATGTGGGAAGATTTGGATTTAGACAATCATCACTATTCTCAGCTTTCTTTTTGTTAGGAATTATTTAGCTGCAAATTAGCCTTTAAAGTAGATGGGGGCTGGGCTTGGGCTCAGCCTGTAATCCCAGCACTTTGGGAGGCCGAGGTGAGTGGGTTGCCTGAGCTCATGTGTTCGAGACCCGCCTGAGGAACTTGGTGAGACCTCATCTCTACAGTAAATCAAAAAATAGCTGGGCGTGGTAGCACACGCCTGTAGTTCCACCTACTCGGAAGGCTGAGGTGGAA